ATAGGTCCGTTCAAAAAGGGTTTAGCAAGGGGCACTAATGGGAGTGGCTGGCTGAGGGTGAACCAGCAAATGACTTAGCAAAGGATTTGCAGGGGGGTATCTAAACTGTTGCCAAGATAGCCGCCTCAAGCATTTAGCTCCTTATCCCAATCTCCATTATCTCCTTCCATTTCCCTTATATTTATGTCTCCTTCCCTCACTATTTCCCCTTACCTCTAATTTACCCCCTCCTTCCACATTCCGAAACATACTTCCGTTTTTTTCCCCCTTGTTTTTCCTACCGGTAATAATGTAAAACGGCACTCGAGCCAGATATCTGATCCCGCAGTTCGTTTTACATAACTACCTTCGTGTTTGGGACGAATCTGAAATGTCAGTTTCGAAACCTTGAGGCTCACTCCTTTTTGATTCTCAACCCCTCTCATATATGTCACGGTATATGTAATTTTTATTTAACACCTGTTCTTTCCGCACCTCTACAAACCGTAGGAATGTAAAAATGCTAGCGTTATTCATTTATTTTTTTTATTTCTAAACGTAAAACTATTGGTAAAAATTACTAATAGCCGTGAAATTCGACAAGTTTCTATAGACAACACTGCCAAAGGCCCTTTTTGGATCATATTCACTTGTCCCATGTAACATTATTGTTATTTCACATTTACTATTAATAAGACCTATGACTCCACCTAGACAAACGTCTAGCTTGGAATCCTCATACCAGACTGAAACGACGTTTCCGACTACTTCAACACTTACTAGACAAACGCTCTAACCTTCCAATTAATTAAAAAAGACTCATTTACATGACTATAATAAGGCCTATTTGGACTTACGGAGTTGAGCTATGGGGCTCCACCAAACCTTCAAATTCCTTTCGTATCCAATCCTTACAATCCAAAATCCTTCGTAAAATCCTCAATGCTTCTTACTTTGTTACAAATAAAATCATCCACAATGACCTAAATGTTCCTTATGTATCAGATTTGGCACAAACCAGATATCTGTCCTTCCATAATAAACTTCATAACCATCCCAACCCTCTTGTTTCTAACCTTGCTTCCTATTCAATTTCTGATAACCCTCTGAGGCGTCTGAAAAGAAGATGGCCACGTGATCTCCCAATATAGACATATTATTAGAGTGCTACCAATGGGTAGTTTCTCAACATGTGTTTCATGTCATTATATCTATGTGCGAATTTCCAAGATGTATTTTTTTTATACAGTTGTAAATATCATATAAATAAAAAAAAAAAACTAAAAAAAAACTATTTATAAGTACAAATATGTAAGCGGACATTTCTATGATTTCATCATCTCATTTGTCTTTTATTTTTATTTTAATATTAAATGACCTTGTAATTTAATTATGTTTTTGTCTGTAATTTTGTGCGAGACAAATTATTGTATAAACAAACAATAAGTTAAACAAAAAAATAAGTAACATTTATAGTTTTATAATTGATTTTTTTACATAATTTGTATTTCATTAGCTGATGTTAAGTTATTATTATTTTTTAAAATTAATACCATTCCATTCTAGGCCAGGGGTCTCCAAACTTAAAATTGATTACTTAGTATAATTTTTAAAACTGTTTAAAAAAAATGTAATTAAGCGAATTACTCACACACGAGGTAACTACATCATTTATTGCATGGTTTTTTTTTCTCATAGAAAGCTCATTTCACAGCTGATTTGGTTGGAAGTCTCAATGCGACTCCAGAAACATAGTCGAGGTCTATGTGGCTCGAGGGTTTGGAGACCGCTTTTCTAAGCTATATTGAAAATAAACAACTTAATTTGTAACGCTTATAGCAGGAGGATCAATAGAGATGATACGAAAGCTAGGAGGTTAAGACGGGCAGAGCACATAGCTCGTAGCAATCGATCAAGAAGTCTCTATACAACAATGAATACCCCAATAGTAGGCAACAGAACACGTAAAATGGCAGAAATCAGATGGATAAAACGCATCAACAGAGATGTTGCATGTATATAATTGGAAAGGAATATCCCAAAATAGGCTAAGACGTAGAAGCTGATTATGACTGCAAAAGATTCATAAGGTCTAAAAGCCAAAAAAAAAAAAAGTATAAACAATTAATTTTCACTAAAAAATTATCAGTAATGATTAGAAATAAAATTTCAGGCCGAAAAAGAACTGGAATAAAAAAAAAAACTGAAAATCCTGACTATACATCATACTAGACAATTTATAAAAAAAATAACCAAATGTCATAGATTATCAATTTTGTACAAACGTGTTTGATCCTGGGGTTGCTATAGATCTTTTAATCAGTTTATCTGATTAAAGCACAGGCGGGTCTAGCCTGAAGTCTCTCCCCTCCCCAAATTGGTAAGATATAACCATATTCTACAGAAAAAAATATTAACAACTATCTCTCAAAGTATTCTTGTTCGTGTACTTACATTTAATAGGAATTCAAGAAGCACTTAAACACCATTTCATATAGGTAGTTAATTTGTTCCTTTTTAAAAAAAACAACTAATTATCGTTATATATATATAAGAAAAAAAAAAAGCTTTCGGGCTGAAGCACCTTCCAAAAATAAATCTTAGATCCACTAGTGGATTAAAGCAAAGAGAAATGCTGAGAAATTCACATTGTGTCGGTAAATGTTAATTAATCCTAATCCACGAGGATGATTTAAAAAGACAAATGCTGTCATTATAATGCTTGACAATTAAAGCATAATTATTTGATATCAGGAAAACACTTAATTAGCTAACTTTTTACAAAGTTGTATAACAAATTAGGCCTGTTGAAGGGAAGTTTTCTTACTTGAATTAATGAGAAAATATATAGTCTAAGCTCGGGCAATTAGGAAAATAGCTGCTATTCATAAATTGAGTTTAGTCCGGTGCTAATGATAATGGATTAAAACGGGAACAAATCTCATTTCATCACAACTTAAAGTCTTAATTAAGTTAGGCTGTTATGTTCAGATGGGCTTAAAAAAAAAAAGAAAAGAAAAGAAAAATATTAGGATATTATTATGAATTGCGCATTACGTTTTGTTTTCGGAATCACAAGAGATACGCATATTGCTCGGTATTACACCGAGTTGAAGTGGCTCTATCCATCATATCGCCGTCAGTACTTTCTAGCTACCTTTCTGTACCAGATCATTAGAACTCATCGACCCTCCTATATCCCGTCCAACTAGATCTCGTACTTCCGACCTGTATCTTCCTCCTCACCGAACTGCTGATATTCGACGAGAACAATCAGTTTCCTCTTTCAAATCTTTTCTCTTTAAACACCTACTCATTTCTCAATCCGACTGACTACGAAATATACCTAAGAGAAATATGACCACCCCCAGAGACTGCTTCAATTCATTTAGATTATTTTAGTTTCTTAAGTCTGTCTTTTATATATGTACAATTTTCTTGTCCTTTTCTCTTTCTTCTTCTGTATTTTTATTTTTAATTAACTCTTATTGTAAATATATAATCTATTTATGACCACATACACATGTACTCAGTACTTATAATTTGTTCTATAGGGACAAAAGTCCCAGAGTAATAAAATATATTTTCATTTCATTTCATTATTCAAAACAACCATCCTTTTAAAATATCAAACGGAAGTACTCCCAATGACCGTTTTCGCGATGTGGCACTTGGACTGGACCATAATAATAAATAAAAAGTATTAGTGTGATAACCAGATAAGATACCAAAAATAAGTAATGTATACTTGACAAAAAAAAAAAAATACCCTCATTTCCAGTTCGAGAACCCTATTGGTCGATGCCCATGGCATTTGCCATCTCGCCATTAGCTATTCGCACCCCTGGTTGTGTGATTCACAACTTTCTATAATTTGTGGGACGGCATCTTAGGTTAAAAACCACTGATCAAGCAGCTTGTCAAGCTTATCAATTCAGCTATCAAAGTGAAGAGGGGCCCATCCCTGTCCAAGTCTTGTCATTTCAAGAGCTATTTCTTCAAGTAATAATTCACATAAAAATATATATACGGTAGCCTGAATTCAAAAGAAATTTTATCAGAAAGGTCAGCTTTAAGAAAAAAAAGATTTTATTCATCATCAGGGTGCATTATTCAGTATTTAAAGGAATTCTGCGTAGTTCGAAGCTGACATCTGTAATCGATAAGGATTTTTCTCTTATTTTTCTAACTTTAAAATAATGGTTAATTCACTGCTCCTGTTCGCCAGCAGCTGATTTATTTCGGTTGATGATAATCCATCAAAGCTTGCTGGCCTTCTTCAGATTTATAAGAAAAACAAATTCAGCTAAAATTAAGATCTCAAACACCAATTAATCCTGTCACTAAAAAGTATCCGTGACGATTTCACAAAATCGTTTCGTTAAACATAACCATAATTAATTGTCACACTATTTCACATTTTTAAAGAAACTTTTGAATAATTCATTCATAACCGTTAAGATTAATTGCTATGGATAACTACTTTTTGGAAGTAAATTTCGTGAGAATTCAGTAAAGATAAATCGATCTGATAAGTTACAAATGACCTATAGAAGATAATATATACATGATTATAAATATTTTGTTTATTTTTGGGACTTATTGGAGTTTATATTAAAAAAAATAACTCAAAGAACACTAGAGATTTCGGAGGCTGCTTGTGAGAGAAGCCACCGCAGGACTGTCGAAAAGTCAACTATCTGAAGTTAAAATTTTTGGTTACTCACTGTCACAACAAATTGCAAACAACACTGAAATCCAAAACTCAAAACATACTACGCATTCATCGGACCGTTAAATTGTCAATAATTGTACGGGATTCAAACAGATTAATGAAGGTGAGTGGGCAACAAGCTATTAGTCAATGATATTATAGTAAATGTAATGAATTAGTAAAGTGGAGGTTTGGTCAGTGCCAACAGCCAACTACTGTGCACAAGTCAAGCGGACGTAGAATGAGGGTGGAGGATCGCTACTGCCTACCCTCCTTCTTTTTGGACGAAGAAACGGTTGCAACTCACCGTGCACGGGGGCGTTTAGAGGAAGCTCCAAGTTAATTGTAGCCGGTAAGGAATAAAGCCAAGCGAAGCTGGGGTTAGTGAGGACGTAACTGTTAGGAGGGCACTGGGACCTTTCTCTTCTACCTTGGCTCAGCCTCGAAGATCCTCTCTCGTTAACGCTATCACACAAACCACTTAGAACCTCTGCAACACATCATGTTCCTTCTAATATATGACATTTTTATTATAATCAATAAATAGACATAGTTAATCCCATCACACCAATTTCAAATCCACTTCCACTCTCTAGCTCATCTTGGCGAAGATATACTTTATTTTATTTATTTATTTCTTATCTCGCTTACTTATTTACTATTTTTTTTAATTATTCATATTTATTTCTGTATTATCTTTATATATTGTATGAAATAACGCTTGTAACCTTATACTTATTACCCTCCAATGTTGCACGTTGTATTATCATTCAATGAAAAAAAAAAAGAATCTCATCTCGGCATATAGTCAGGTAAACAGACCTCTTTTTATCAAATTATTAATATCCGCCAAAAACTTCGTGAATAATTTCATCTCATCTTAAACTACAACTATTTTATTTATTGTACAACTTTTGGAATTGGAGCGTTTTCAGTCTGGAGATTGGTAAACTTTTGTCTATTTAGGTACTAAAAACTCGTAAATTCCCTTTTGCCTTCCACTTGGAACGTAAGATAATTTAATCACAAAATCGAGAAAAATATTGGGCCGTTTGGTCTATATAACCTCGTTATTTTGACACTTTGGGAGTGTAGTTCATGGCAAACGGCTCAATATTTTTGAAGGCCACCTTTTTTCTCGATTTTGTGATCAAATTATCTTACGATCCGAGTAAGGAAAGCAAATGGGTATTTCCGAATTTTGATCACCTCATTAAATATACAAAGTTTGCCGATATCCAGATTGGAAACGCCCCAATTCCCAGAATTTTCATAAATAAAATAGTTCTATGCAACGATGAGATGAAGCTATTTACGAAGTTTCTGATGGATGTTAATAATTTGACAAAAAGTGGTCTGTACCACGGACCAATAATTATTAATAAAGAGAATCGTATTTATTCGAACGCTCCGTCCATTATAATAAAATTATATTCTGACGTTATAATCGACAATGTTCACTTCTCTCTTAATAATAAGCTTTACATATAGTCTAAGCTGCAGACCCCTTTTTATCAAATTATTGACATCCGCCTAAAACTTCCTGAATAGCTTCATCTAACCTTCAACTTTTTAATTACAAAACTACTCGAAATCGGGGTGTTTTCAATTTTGTGATTGGTAAACTTTTATTCAATTAGGTTCTAAAAACTGAACACTCATTTGCTTTCCACTTAAATCAAAAGACAGTTTGATCACAAAATCGAGAATAAAAGTGACCTACAAAAATATTGGACTGGTTGGGAAAGTAGTAGTTATTTTGGTTAAATATAACCAATCAAGTATAAAGCAAATGGGTGTTTACGAGTTATTTGTACCTAATTGAATTAATTAATGCATTAGAAAACGCCCCATTTCTGAGAATTTTCGTTGATAAAAAAATAAGATGAAGCTATTCAAAAATTTTCAGGCGGATGTTTTTTTGTTAAAAAAGGGTCTGTATCACGGACAAATATTCTTAATTTCATTTTAGTTTGATCATAGATGCCCAGAAAGGGTTAGCACGGGCAATCTTTGTGGGGTATATTGTTACGGTGTTTTGAATTTCTGAGGGGGGCTACACGAAATGGTACAAACTCGTACATATGGTACAAATCCTACATAAACAAATTAGAACCAAATATATGGAATAAAAATGAATGAGAAGTTTTTCTTAATTTATATCTTAAAAAGGCATGGAATCTAAAAAGTTATCGATGTAGGTAGTAAATAATTGGGTAATTCAGCTTTTCAACGGTAGTACTAACGATAGTCAACGAAGTTGACTAACTGAACTCATCTTAACAAAACCTAATTATATTCGCGTTGAAGCACTTATGAATAAAGGGAAAATAAATTTGTCGATGTTGATAGAAATTATATCAATTAGAATTCACGAAAATCTTAAATCATGTTCTATTTATTCAGAAGACTGAACTCGGAAATGAAAAAAAAAGAAGAAAAATGTAGCTACTTTTTTCACACTTCCCTGTAGAAAAACGTCACAGTTCTCTTTAAGTGTATCACGTGGTTCATCAACAACCGTTAATTAATCATTCAGAACATATATCATGTCATGAATAACTTGTATCTGATGAGCTTCTTTGATTAATGGCTGATCTAATGGAAGGATATCCATAGAAGGGTAAAATATCCCTTGTGAATTTATCCAAAACTTTTTTATGTCTTGGATCTTTAGCTGAAAACAGCTAGAGGAGTAAATACAGCCTAGGTTAAATAAAGAACCACTTTCTAAGTTTAATCATTGTTTCAATTTCATTCTTCATTTGTTTCAAGTGGCTTCTATTATTTATAATTAAATCCTAGCGTTAATATTAGTTGATGTGAAAGAAAAAAAAAATCAGATAGCTGTTTTTTCGACACCTTTTTGTGTTTAATTTCACTAAATTTAGTTTTACGCAGAATGAATATTTATTATGCTGTTAATATGAAAAAGATAGCATTAAATTTGGACGACTTATCCCTGAACTGTCATAGGCCTTATGCGCATCGTACGATTTCTTATAAATTTTATTTTCTACAGTTTCTCTTGAATTTCATTATAGTAAGTATCAGATAATTATCTCTGTTCCTCAGAGCATTACATTATATTATATATTCCCAGTACTTGTGCTATCATGTAAAAATCAACTAGTAGATAGAAATTTAAAAGGTTTATATTTTTTCATACCTATCAAATCTCTGGGTCATATGTGGATCAGATATGTGGAGAATCAGAATTCGGTTGATGGATAGTAAATCGAAGAATTGATATTAATTTAATGAGAAATAGAAATTTAATTTTTGCAAATGTGTCCCTATGTAACGCAATGTTTTTTTTTTATTCCAACTCCCCAAATTTATCTACGATTATTATTTTAAGAAATTTTTGGATCGAAAATTCGAAAAAAAAATATGACATAAAATTTGGTGATTAATACTAAACGTTTATGATTTTGCACATTTTAAAAATTAATTGTAATAAAGATTTGTGCATCCCTATAGTCATGCAATTTCATATCGGTATACAGGGTGTCCCGTAAGTAAAGATAAATATTTAGAGAAGATAGTAGACATCAAGAACTTATGAACTATGATTTTCCGCAGAAAAGTAGGAAATTTAAGTTATGTGTGTTTTTTTAAAAAGTAAGTCACGTTTTTTGTCGAACAGAGAGCGATAATTTGGTAAATATTTAATTTAATCAATTAAAACTGCTTCGTAGTAAACTAGACAAAAGTTCCTTCGAATAAATGTAGGGTTTGTCGTTGTTAAAACCATTTATAGAGGACATATGAGTGGTTAAACTAACCCGGACTTCTGAGCGGTTAAACTAAGCTGGACTTCTGAGCGGTTAAAATAAATCAGACTTCTGAGCGGTTAAACTAAGCTAAGTTGTGTTTTTAAAAAACCATGGATTGTTCGCTATTTTCAACATCCTATTTTCAACATCCTACAACCTGACTAAAGGTACAACCCACTTCCAGAAAAAAATCTCGTTCAATAAGCTTTAATTCAATATTATTTGAAAGATCGTTTTTTTTTCGTACACACCTTGAGGTGAATCTCAACATATGCCGAAATAAACCTCAACTTAATTAATATTGAATTAAACGAGGAAATTTTTTGGGAAGTGGGTTTAAAAAAAAAAACATAGCTTACTTTAGCCATTCAAGAGTCCCCTTTAGATGGTTTTAACCATGGCTTGAAACGAAATATAAATTTTTTATTTTTAAAATGTTTCGGTATCACTGGAATTATTATTGACGATAGCTTTTCAGTTATTTTGGAACTTTTATTTTCAAAAAACTTTTTTTTTTTACGTTCTGTCTATTTCGTTAAAAAGTCGATCTAAAATGTGACTTTTACTCTTAACTACTCGAATAAACAAAATATTAGAATCATATGTAATTCGTTTTAGACAAATTATAACTCTAATCTAAGTCCAATTACTGTTTATTTTTCATTTAAAGGGACTTTTTTTAAGAACTTGAATAGATACTGGTTAAACTTTTACCATAAACCTGGAACTTTATTACAAAAAATGTTCCTCTAAGAACTTTTATTTCAAGAATTTTTTTTCTTAAAAAGTTTCACAGAAACTGTTAAAATGGAACTTCACATAAAAGCTTCAACCCCTCGTTTTAACACCAACAAACTCTATTTGTATTTTAAGGAAATTTTTTCTTGTTTATTACGAAGCAATTGTCAATTGGCTAAATTAAATATTTACCGAGTTATCGCTTCCTATTCAACAAAATACATGACTTACTTCAAAGAAACACAAAACTTAAGTTTCCTAATTATCTGCAGAAAATAGGAACATATTTCACATGAACGTTTTTGTATCTCTTGACGTCTATTATCATATCTTTAAAAAAATCTATCTATTACCGGGACACTATGTATAAATAATTTGATGTTTCATGGATTGTATTTTATAATTTATGTCACCACAAATGTTCCCTTCCCGGTTCATTCGGAACTTAACAAAGCACAAAGCGGTAAGACACAGGCAACGCTGACTCACCGTGGCTGTTGATGTAGTTGGCGAGGTAGAGGTCCAACTCCCTCACGGAGACGTTGATGTGGTAAGGGTTGACGCAGAGGTTGGGGTGGGCACACTCAGCCGCCTTCTCTAACCTCTCTCCGTCCGTGCTCTCCAGAGGAATTGCCTTGAACAGGATCACCATCACCAGGTCTAACCGCCACACCTGCAACAAACCAAACCATCGACAAATCAATCAGCAAATTTGTGTGAAACAGTTGGCAAAATTAATACTAGCAATCGGCTATTGATTCAATCATTGGCACCGGAACTTTATGTTAGGAATGTTAAGTTACTAAATGTTAGTAAACGGTGGGGGTGGGGGGGGGAGGTAGGGTCAAGGAACAAGATTAGCAGTGCCGTTCTCCGACATTTGACACCCTTGACAAGGAGTTAGCTTTAATTGAGAATTATTACGATTGATGTTTGGTTAAGAAAATTCCTCAGAAATGAAAAACGGGTTTGGAAAGAATTATTATACAATGAAATTCTATAAGTAAGGCAGAAGAACCTCAGAATGCGGGAATAGGTGGTTTTGCAGTTTATAGGAGATTTTATTATTTAAAACAAAAAAAAAAAAAAAAAAGAAGGAAATTTATGTCTATAATTAGAAGCGGATCGGTATTCCATTTTGAAGAGAAGTTGGTTGGGTTGTTTAGTCAAAATACAAAGTTAAAATCAATAAATATATTTATTTTATTCTATTTGTGCCGACGTTTCGCCCGTAGTTTCAGGCCTTCACCAGGCCTAAGCACGGACAAGATAACATATAATATTTAATAGATATTAAAAAATGGTAAAAAAAAATATCGATAAAAAATGATATATAAATCACGGAAGTAACAGAGCTAGGACTTAAGAAATTGCGGTTGTAAAGTTAGGATATGTAATATGACGGTAACAAAGTTAGAGACTTATAAAATAATGGAACAAACTTAAGACGTTATAAAATAAATACAATAAAATGATAATGTAAGCAATAATAAAATAATGATAACAAATTAATGAAGTTATTAAAGCAATGAAAAATGAAATATAAAACAACAGTTTCATATATATAATTAAATTGATTAACGGATGAAATATAAAACAACGGTAACAAAGTTAGGGACTTATGAAATAACAACAACAAACGACAAAGATCAAAGTTAGAAAGTTATAAGAAAAAAAGGAAATAAAGTGATTAAGTAAACAATTATAACATGACAAAAACAGTTTAATGAATTTAATAAAACATTTCATTTAATAACAAGGTATTTCCTTCTATTTCATAACGGTAATTACTCGGTAACAAAAAGAAAGAAGCTATATGTTGTTTAAGTGGTATTTAACTGCCTATTGATAAAAAAAAACTTACTGAAACAACAATGGTTATAGGGATAATTTTTTTATGATTTAAAAATAACACATATTTTGGTGGTTTAAGTATTTAGCTCAAATCACTCACAAAAGTAAATATGAACTAATGAAAAAAAAACTAATCATTTTTCAATTTTTGGGGTTCCTGGGTTGGGAGACCGAACCATCTCCTGTGTAGTGTTGCCCAAAATCGGTCTTTGCAAGACTAAGACCAAGGCGGCCTAACTGTTGCAAAACCAAGACCAGGACTGGTAAAAAAATCGATTTAAAAAAACATAAGGCAAAATAATTAGTAATACTTGACAATCGTAGTTACTATATGTTAATAATTGCTATAACCAATATACTTTTGCATTTAAATCCTCTAATTTTTCATTCAGGCTTAGTTAAGTTTTCCCTACCTAAAAAATTACAGTAATATCTCTATAGCAATAAGCTAATTAGTAACTGCAAGACTGCAAGACTGTAGCGAGACTCTTGCACAAGACCAAGACTCATCTCGGTCTCGGATTTGTTCAATACTACTCCCGTGTATACTCTAGTACCTATAATACAGTCGCTGTCATAGAAATTGCATCACCTATTTTTTTTATTCTTATGTTGATAACGTTGACTCCATTGAATGTTTTTGTTTATCTTTACTTGTTAAGGTTACAAAAAAATTTAACAATGCTTCTCAGTTCTCTTAACAGTTAGCTAATATCAGGATAAAAGCTGTAATTAGGACCTGTATAAAAAACTAGTCCTCGTCAAAGAATATTAAAATTGTGACGTTACATGAAATAAAAGATTTTTCGTGAGAAACAGTAACGAAAATAGGAGTTACCCTAATCAAAGGTAGTCATAGTTTTGGGGAAAAAAGGCACCATGGAGTGAAAGAAAAAGAAAAAAAACGAACGAACGATTTGACTGCTTAATGGTACGATTGTTTTTAGAATATCGTTTAAAAACTGGCAAAGAAGTATCCTCCAGATAGTAATCTAGTGTTTCTCAAAATCGGTCTTGGTCTTGCAAAGTGCAAAGACCGCCTAATTTTTGCAAGACCAAGACCAAGACTGGTAAAAATAAAATCGTTTTAGTGAATAAAAATTAAGGCAAAATCGTTACTCATACTTGAAAATTTTAGTTATTATATGTAAAGAATTTGTACAACCAATATACTCTTCCAAATTTTCATTTGGGCTTAGTTAGGTTTCCCCTATCTGAAAATTACAGTCTATAGTAATAGGCTGATATATTAATGACAGAAGATGAGCAAAGAGATCATCTTGCAGTACCCCAGCATAAAAGATATAAAATAAGAATAAATAGGTAAAAAAAAAAAATGATTAAAGGAATGCTTGTAAATTCAGTCTTGGTCATGGTTATATAATACACAATGGTATTGTAAAGTTTAAAAAAAACGGAGATTAAGAAACGAAAAGATATATATCTATACATAGTTGATGAATGTAAGAAATGAAATACGTCTAAAATATATACAATGTTGTAGATGGAAAAAAATGGATAAAAAAAAACCATATCTTATTTTTTATGCATCACCTCACATTGCTATGCCAAAAGTGATACTGAATCTTTTCAATTCAAAAATAATAAACAAAAAATAAAATGAAATAATGGTGTATGAAAAGAAAAAATATACGTAACATTATACAATCCATTTTATGTGTTTTTACTGCGAAACAGAAATAAAATCCCAAATTTAAAGATCTGAAATTATTTTTTTCTCTACTATATATGTGCACTATGCCTATATGCACTCTACTATATATGTGTAATATATAACTGCAAGACTCTTGCGCAAGACGAAGACTAATATCTAATGAGTTAGTTACAAAGAGGATAAGTCACATATTGACCTTTTTTTTTCTCATTGTAGTTCATATATTATTCTTTATGTTCCTAATAGTACAATCCAATAGAAAAATTGCTTACCATTTTCATATTGACCAGTACTATTAGAAACTAACACGTTAGAAGTTATTTAAATATCTAATTTTACTTAGTTTATTTACTATTCAAGATTATTCAGTATTAGTTTTGTTTTCTAAGACGTTCAGAGCGCAATGTCCTCGACTAAAGATCCACATATATAGTAGAGAAAACATTAATTTCAGATCTTTAAATTTGGGATTTTATTTCTGTCTCACAGTAAAAACACATAAAATGGATTGTATAATGTTACGTATATTTTGTCTTTTCATACACCATCATTTTATTTTATTTTTTGTTTATTATTTTTGAATTGAAAAGATTCAGTATCACTTTTGGCATAGCAATGTGAGGTGATGCATAAAAAATAAGATATGGTTTTTTTTTATCAATTTTTTTCCATCTACAAGATCGTATATATTTTAGACGTATTTCATTTCTTACATTCATCAACTATGTATAAATATATATCTTTTCGTTTCTTAATCTCCGTTTTCTTTAAACTTTGCAATACCATTGTGTATTGTATAACCATGACCAAGACTGAATTTACAAGCATTCCTTTAATCATTTTTTTTTACCTATTTATTCTTATTTTATATCTTTTATGCTGGGGTACTGCAATATTATGATCCCTTTGCTCATCTTCTGCTATTAATATATCTTTAATCTATGTATATATTTTGTATGTTTTAGCTGTTTGGGTTTTAACATAACAAGTCAATACTTTTTATTTACGTACTTTTGATATCTTTTCTTTTTTGTGGTGGTTTTGCTTTTTCTTTCTATACATGTAATTCTTTTCCTTTTCCTTTTGTTATTTTTTTCAGTACAATTATAAGTATAGTTGAGAAGATTTTATTTTATTTTTTAGTTGTTTACATACTATTATTTAAGTTGTTGTATATATTGTTTGAATCTTTGTTAGGTTAGTTTTTGGCCAGATATGTATTTTTTTTCTTTTGTAACAGTTCATTATTGTTATTATAAGGGGACATCGTCCCAGAATAAAGTTTATTTTCTGTTTCTATTTCTATTTTATATTAACATAGAAAGAAAAAAAAATTAAGAACCTTTTTTTTTTTAATGAAAAGAGTTGTGAACTTTAACCATATGCCAGTGTACTTGACTCGAGGGACAGAATGTCACAAACCCTTGGAAAAAATGTCGGCAAAGTTCAGCAATCAGCGGTTGAGTAGAGATCCTTTATCTGCCCACGTCAAGTGAACATTTTTTGTAATGTATTAAAATAATAACAGAGAAATATTAATTAAAATACATTTTGATCTGTAATAGTAACCGGTGGGGATGGGTATAAATAGAAATTGGAAGAAACGATCGTCTAATTAGTTTTCCTGATGGAAAATGTAATTGATGTTCGTTGTAGCCACAGGCAGATCTATGAGGGGGGGGGGGGCTTTCGGGCTGAAGCCTGCCCCTCCCCCCCAAAAAAAGCTAAAATATAACCATATTTTACGGAAAAAAAAATAAAAACTATCTCTTAAAAGTATTCTTGCTCGTGTAATTACATTTAATAGGACTTAAACAGGAACAGGAACCACTTAAACACCATTTCATGTAGGTACTTAATTTATTTATTTTTTTTCAAATTAATGTTTGTTATACTTATAATGGTTGTAGCAACATAATGGATACGATGATTATATTTAACGTGGAGATTTAATTATTAAATAATATCTTTTTTCAAATGTTCTGCAGTCGTATTCTAGCGGATGCATCGTATTCAAGCATGGTTTTAACTTGAATATTAACATATGGAAGGTACAGACTTGACTTCTTCACAAGAAGTTTTTCCCAACGTAGCTAAGATCTGTAACGGTTTTCAATGATAAGGATAGGAATGGTGCAGCGACT